ATTGAATTGAATTGAATTGACTTGGTGCCACCTCTGCTAATTAGCAGGGCACGTGAAGTAACAAAAAAAAAAAAATACTGGGTAAACAATCAAATATTACTGCAGTTGGGTGTCAAGGGCCACAGGTTGGACTACGAGTCTTTGTACTCACTACCTCTTTTCAGAGATTCAGGGAGACATGGACTCAGGTGCAACAACAGATACTAGGGCAAACAGCAAGAGCCTCCCACAGCTATTATATGTCTAGTAGTGGAGAGTTGATCACAAAGTTGGGGTTCCTTGACACCAACAAGTTTGGGGTGGGGTTAACCAGCCCTGACACATCATTAATGTGGCTTCTCATGGTTTCATCTGTAATATCAAGGGACTGAATCCGGAATTTAAAATGGGATACAAATATGCATTGCCTATAAAAATATGGAAGCTGTGCATCTTCGCCCTCTCTCAATGTGCCTCTTTTCCTCCCGTCTTGTTTGTAGTGAAGAATGGCAAAAGCGGGATGTCCCATGTGCTGACCCTGCAGGACATGGAGCAGGACAGTCTGCAGTTTGACCTGGCTGCAGGCTCTCTGGAGGAGCTGTTTGAATGGTACCAGGTGGCCTGGGACATTACTCAGAGAGAGATGAGCAAGCAGTACCACAGGGAGCAAGAGGTTTGATGGCATATCATAATATATGTAGTGATGGAGGAGCCTATCTCAGTCAGTTAAAACCTAGAGTGGACATCTAAACAATTTTATGCAATTAACATTATAGATATACAGTATATATAATGTTAAAACAGACTACATGCTGTATAACCACAATGGAGTGTTTCACTGGTAGTCTGTTAGCATCATTGTGTGAACAGGAAGTGGTTGTCTGTCTGTCCAATCTCAGATCAGACAGCAGGAGGAAGTGGAGAAGAAGGCAGAGGTTGCCATGGAGATGTCGGACCTGGTGGTCTACTGTCAGCCACGCAGCAAGGAGAAGGACCGCTTTGGTAAACACATGCACATACTGAACACAAAGAGCTGTGAACACGAGCAACATGACAGTGTGACAAGAGCCCGAAGTGACAAACTTTACCACAGGTTCACAGTGGAAATATGCTCCAATCGTGTATCAATATGTATGTGTTAAGTTAAACAGCAGGCTCATTTTAGCATTAGCTTGACTTGGTCTTATTTGTGTAGCCTGTAAGACATGAGACACTTTGTCATTGTAGGAATACAAAGGATGTCAGTTAATAAGCTGAATTTGAGCCATGTAGCCGAACCTCCAGTTTTTTGTAACATATACATTACATATACTGACAATCTGACACAATGTTTCTTTACAAGGAAAGAAACAATTTAACAATTTAGTGTAATGCAGAATTTACAAGAAGCGTGAATGATTAAGAATTTGTCGTAGACAGCCTTTCAAAGTTTATTATCACTCAACAACTCTCAAAATTGTGCGATTATCTTCTAATTTCTACTAGTTTAATGGTGAAATCAGTTGAAACAGTGAAAAAATCTGCTCAGACTCAAAATGTTTTATTTATTGTCACAGACTTGTCTTGGACTCATTGGTCTTGGCAAATATTCTATACTGACTCGACCAAGCCCAGCAATCTATGTTTTTTTTCTGAGGTAACTTTCCTCCTCCAAAACAAAACCATTAATGAAGCATGGTGGTAGATCATCCTAATCTTGATAGTTTCTTTCATAAAGCTTTTAGAGGGTCAGGGGTAAGGGGTTAAAAAGGTGGCTTTATAAAGGTTTGTAGTTACATTATTGACAAGAAACAAGTTTGCCAGGTTAGCTAAGCCAACCAGCTCCTGTATACACTACTTGATTAATTGGAATATAGCAGTAAAGCTATTATGGTAGGTGGCTTTTCAACTGAACAGTCCATTCAAATATGTGGAAAAAGCCATCTTAGCTATGAAAACTGGAAATGCAAAAGCAGCATTTTAGTTAATATTTCATGTGTAACAAAGTTTGGTCCAATGAACCTGGTTTTCTGTACTGATCAAATTCATTTGTGGGAAATGTAACTGTAAAGTAATTGCAGACTGACTCATTGCCTCCATCATGCATTTTTCAGTCAGACCTCATTCTTGTAGAGGAAAAACTGAATGCTTCGACCTGAGAGTTATTCAGTGAGGAGCTACCTTCACTGTTCTTACACCACAAGTCAAAGTTGTTCAACAAACAGGATGTGACTAAAGGGAAAGATCTAAAGACTAGACCGCTTCCTGTGTTACACAGATCTAAATTTGGAAATGCACTGAAAAATTTCCATACATAACCAACATCCACACCATAACAGTCTATATCAGATGACTCTGTTGTTCAAGGTTTTTACATATTCAGAGGTCATTTACCCAGGTTAGTTATTTTTGCATGTCGTGAGTATAGCATAAATGGTTCAGAAGTTCAGAAGGAAACACTGTGGTTGATGGGCTATAAGGCTTTGGCGTCATAAAACTGCGGTGCTTTCTGACCATTCTCTAACCCTGACGTAACGTAGCTTTAACTGCCTTTGAATTCTACTCTCATCTATCAAAGAGTAGACGTGGTCTTATATATATATTATGCTAGCTCTGCTAAGTTCTGCTACCTGGTGCATTGTCATCACTGGCAGCCTGCTTGACCCGAGCACCCCATGACTCGAACATTTGCTTGGTTAATTGATTAGTTGTTTGGTCCATAAAATGTGAAATTTGTGTAAAATGATGATCGCTGTTCCCCTAAGCCCAAGGTGACGTCCTCAACTGTCATAGAGGAAAATAAAGAAACTAGAAAATATTCACATTTCAGAGGCTGAAGTCAGATAATTTGGACAGTTTTTCTTAAAAAAAAGAGACTCCAAGCAATTATCAAAATAGTTGGCAATTAATATAATAGTTAATTATTGCAGCTCTATAACACACCAATCTTCCTCAGCTACGTCATCTTAGCAAGCAACAAAAGGGAGGTATCTGGTGTCTATAGCATTACCAGCTAGCACCATCAGTTAACAACATGTTAAGCTAACTAGCACAACTAGCCAACAGGTTAAGCTCAAAATATTCAGTGTAACCACAAAGTATCCAGAGTTTCAGTCCAGTTTATTGGTCTATTGCCATCGACTGATGCAACCTGAACCCGTTGGCAGCTGACCCCTAACCTCTCAAATCACTGTTCTTTGCTCCGTATCTAGACAGCTACAGCTACAAAGAGATCCGCTCCTTCGTGGAGAACAAGATCCCGGGAAAGAACCGCACCAAGGACTTCCTTCAGTACAACTGCAAGGCTCTGAGTCGGATCTACCCGAAAGGTCAGCGCGTGGAGTCCTCCAACTACGACCCTTACCCACTGTGGGCTGTTGGCTGTCACATGGTGGCTCTCAACTTCCAGACTGCAGGTACAGTAGTTTATTTGGGTTTAGCAGAGGGAAATGTTGGGGGTTCCATACAATACTCTTGTACTCTTGTCTATCCATCCACTTCCATGTGTTAGGGATTGGTCACATATGGGGCTTCTTTTCAGAAACAGAACTACAAACAGGGCTCCACCTTCACTGTACATTACGTCACCGCCAAATCACCTATCCAAATCTATTGGAAGTGCCATTATTTCTGGTCACATTTTAGACTCAGTGATAGGCCGGTAAATGGAAAAAAAACTGTATTTGGAAAAGTGTCTGAAGATTTAGAAATAAAAAAAGTGTATTGATTTCTAATGCCACCTTTAGACATTTCTATTCAATGCTTTACTAATGTGCCACAACAATAATACCTGAGGGTCAGTTGAGTAATGACAGGGTCTGGAAAATCAATTTAAACGCAAATGGGCGTGGCTTAAATGAATAAAGTCATCTGGACCCACATAATCCACGAAAATAGAATTTGGTTTCCAAGACTTAGTTGTAGGCCAAAACTAGAAAATCAAAGGACATGCATACATAAAAATAGACAGATTCCTTCCTTTATAATTAGATAAATTCAGTACTTGCTGCCTAAAGGCTAGGTGAAACTGTTTTCAGCTGTCCGGTATGACACATGTGTAGAGCAGAGATGCATATAATAGTGTATGTGTCCACCCAGATAAATACACCCAGTTGAACAGCGCCCTCTTCAGTCTGAATGGACTTACTGGTTACGTGCTGCAGCCGGAGCTCATGCGCGATGATGGCTATAACCCTCAGCAGGAGAAGAAGAAGGTCAAGTACAACATTGTGGTTAGGGTAAGTATGTGCACAAACACACACACTTTATAAAAAGTGGCTAACACGTACATCATCATCATGAGGTTGCTTTAGGATAAATTTAGATTCCATCAAACCTCTCCATTTCTCCATCATGTTAGAGGTGTATGATGCTGCAGTGAATAGCAGCATACTGACATGACAGTTTACTGTGTCTGTCCTCTGCAGGTGATTGCAGCCAGACACCTTCCTAAACCCGGCCGCAGCATCGCCAGTCCATTCGTGGAGATAGAGCTGTGCGGACACACAGAAGAGAAGTTCAAGACCATCGTCTATCGTAAGCAAAGGGGAAGTGGAAGATGGGGAGGGTGAAAGCTAAACCTACGGGACGGAGAGAGGGGAGAGGGAGGAGTGAGAGATTGCTTGTGATCACGCCAACAATGCTGTCGTTCTTCCTGCTGCAGGTGATAACGGTCTGAACCCAGTGTGGAAAGCCCCAGCAGAGCCTATAGTCTTCACCGTGTACGAGCCTGAACTCACCTACCTGCGCTTTGTGGTCAACGAGGAGGACATGTTCTCAGACCCCAACTTCCTGGCTCAGGCCACATTTCCTGTCAAAGGCATCCGCTCAGGTAAGAACACACACTGCACAGCACAGAGGGCCAGAGCTGGTAAATGGCTGCTCATGTGAAGCTTGTGTAGTACTCATTGTCAAGCATGAGTATTACTGTACTTTTTTCCTAAAAGCAGGATTTCTGTACACTATACTTACCCTATTACCTTTCAGTTGTGCCTTCTCTTTTACCTCTTTTGAGACAATGCAGCCACCAGTGCACATCCACTAAGAATAGACTTTACAGTGAAGTAGGAGACATCTTGTGTCCAGCAGGAAAACTTTAGAAATGAACAACATTTGCATATTCAGAGATTCTGGAAGTTTTAATGAGGTAGGAGTA